GTTTAGATACACATAAAAATAAATCTGGACTGCCAATGAGGGTACATTTGTTTACTTTGATACTATGCTTTGGAGAGTCTGGAGATGCGAAGATAATTTGTCCCTGTAGTGAGAAATGAACGTGTGTCGACAACACAATGACATAAATTACATATGTGCAATGGAGCCAGTGTAATGGGGAGCATAGAAAATTGAGCTGATAACTTTTGCAAAGTTGAGGAAACCCTCAAATAGGAGATAACACCTGAGTTGGGTCCTGAAAGATGGAGCTATCAAGACAGAGAATAGGGGAAAAGGGCATTCTAAGCAGAGAATTCTCTAAAGAATACTTTTTAACCAGAGAAAGCAATATAAAAAGGCATAGAAATGTGAATTTGCAGTTCACTTGAAATCTGTCCTTTTCACATTCTTTATTGTTAAGCTAGGACTTTTGTTAAGCTAGTATAAAGTTTTACCTTTGTTGATTTCTACTTAAGATTTTAGTCTCTATATTTAAAAAATCTTTACTGCTATTTCTCACCTTAACGTCATCCGCAGATTTTAGGAGACTGCCTTGTATGTTGTCATTATCTAAGTCTGTCCGCTAGCACTAAGTAGAGTACAAAGTTATTTCTTTCAAATTTTTAAAACTTATTTATATTTTTAATTAGTCAAACTTTTCCCCTGACCATTTATGAATAAATATAATTTTCATCTAGCTGGTATTTTTCTATATAATATAAGGCTTGTATAATAAATCTACCATCCTATGATTGCCTAATCTGCTTTTGTAACCCTATTAGTGAAGGAAATTGTTAGAACAACTGATGCTGTCTTCTAAAAATTACTATTTTTCTAAGTTTATGAGCCATGCTTCTCATGTCTTGCATACCATATGCTGTTTAAGTCAGGAATTATATCAGTTTTTAACCTGTGGCTGCATTTCTCAGTTATACTAATTATTTTGCGGACAGGGGAGTTTGATTATTTCCCTTAGATCTTTTCTGCAGTGTTGTGCTGGAGGATCTTTCTTATCTTTTCTTATGTTTAATAAAGATTTGGCCCTTGAGTACACTTTGCATTTATCTTTTCTGAATTGTGTTTGGTTTCTGGTTTTTGTCACTGCATTCTTAATCTTATTCTACTAGATTTTTAGTTTTCCAAGTAACCAGCAAGTTAACAGTATGTTCCCCTTTGTTCCTTAGTTTGTTCACCAGAGTTGGTTGACTTTATATTAGAAGTGTGTTCTTACCAATAGTTGACCTGGTAATTCAAGCAATTTTTCTTAAGGAATAATGGTAAAGAGAAGAAGTCATCAAACTTATTCTTAAAGGGCCAGATAATCAATATTTTAGGCTTTGCAGTCCATAAGGTGTCTGTTGCATCTACCCAACACTCAGATGATGTGAGAAAGCAGTCAGTCAGACAAGACCTAAAGATGTAGGTATGGCTGTGTTCCATAAAACTGCAAAAGCAGGTGCAAGGCTGGATTTGCCCTCCGGTCCAGTAGTATGCCCATCTCTGGTAAAGAGGATTGTTGAAAGAATGTAGTAATTAATTGAAGACATAATAATCTATATTAGCCTAAACATATATTCATATGAAACAAAACTTTGTATTTTTGCTCACGATAGTAAGATGTGCTTCTTGTAAAAATTTCATTTTGTAATATAGAACTTGAAGAGGCACTGTAACCTACCCCATAGAGTTGAGTATTAACAAAATCCTCTACATTTGAATGTGTATGATGAATGGGGGAAGAGCAGAATTACTGAAGTGGGAGAAAGTGGTGAAGGGCTGTAATGTTAGAGATGGGGCCATGCTGGTAGGGGGCGATGAATAGGAAAACTAGCCCTTGGGCTTTTTTTTCCCTTGCATTAAAATTGCCACTGTGATAGAGTGCCCTGCCTCCCTCCTCCTGAGGGTAGACCTTTGTGCACAGCAGGGCTGTAATATACCATATTTTGCTGTGTATAATGCATACTTTTTTGCCCAAATTTGTGAGGGAAAAATAAGGATGCTCATTATACATGGGTAGTACTAATTCCATATCTATATAAATGTTTTTAATTTTTTTATTTATGCTTATGAGTTAAAAGTGTAACTCTAGAGATCAATGATATCCATGTACAAAATAATATCCTGGAATACGATAATCAGTTTTGTTGAACTTACAATGAACTTGCAAAGTTCTTGGCCTTCTATGATGCGTAAATATAGTGACTTTGTTACCGGTACATAAAATTTCTTGTACCTTGTATCCGTTCTTAAGTTTTGTAATTTTTTGTTACATAAAATTTCTTGTACCATAATATGTTAAAAAATAAATGCTAAAATTCCTTTATAATACAAAAAACAAGTACCTAAATGTAAACAAATACAAATTTGAATTAAACATTTAAAACGAAAGATTTTTTTTTTCCCTGAAAGTTTGGGCCAAAAACATGGGTGCGCATTATGCACGGGAGCGCATTATACGCGGCAAAATACGGTAACAACAACTTTGTAGAGTAGGTAGACACAAAGGAAACAAACAGTACACTTTGTAGGAAGTCGTAGAAACTTGATGTAAAAGGAAGCTGTACGTCACTGGTTACTGACTCCTCTATTTTTCTGCCTGGTAACACGTGTAATAGAGGTTTGTGGTACTTGTGCTATTGCTCTCCTTGTTGTTTTGAACAATGTTAACAAATGTAAATAGTGTTTACTGCAGCTGGGTGTAAAGTCTGTCCCCCTGCATTGGTACCAAATACCCATGACCTACCAAATACCTCAGGTTACCAAATACTGACCTGCTATGGCTAGAGCCTGGCCCATCCAATAGTAGCCATGACTTGGTACAGGATTATTAAGAACTTGAAATGTGACTAGTCAGAATTAAGATGTGCAATAAGTGTGAAATACCTACTAGATTTTGAAGACCTAGTACCAAAAACTGTAAACTGTTTTAATATTGATTACATATTGAAATGAAATTATTTGGGGATGTATTAGGTTAAATACAATATAAAATTAATTTCATTAGTGTTTCTTTTAAAATCTTAAAATGTGGCCACTAGAAAATTTTAAATTATGTGTGTTCCAAGCATTATATTTTTATTGGCACTGTTTTAGAAACTTGTTAATGTGTAAGGTTTGAAATATATTTTTCTCAAATAGTACTAGATATAGTTTAATTATTAGAAGTGTACGTCACACATATTTGCTATGTGTTGGCTTGGGAAGCTGAGTCTCACAGATATATTTGTTTCTATAGGAAAAAGTTTAAAACTTACAAAGTTTTCTAAGTGAACTGTAGTTTCACTGAACTGTAGTTTTAGGCAGTAAAACAGATAAGACCTCTTTCAGATCATTTTATTCTGCACCGTTGATAACCACCTATTGGGTATATTTGTTGCCTCTTTCTTAGCTAATAAGTTATTTATCTGACAGATTTTATTGCTTATAAAAACAGATTATATATTTTCTCTCTCTGGCCTTTCTTTTTTCAACTGTTTCCTTTACAACCCTGACTCTTTAACACTACTTCTCCAAAACATGTTCTAGTATTTCTTGATTTTTTTTGCCTGCGTCTTCTCCTTTCTGTTCTCTGAATTCCCAAAGGATATCTGCCTCTGTCTTATTAAGATAATCACTTTTTACTTTATACTTTAATGATACATCCATTATCTCCCCTACTTAAGAGTACATATTTCAAAAGGATCGTCTTTGTACTGAACGATAGTCATGTGACTTGGCTTATGCATGCTATCTCATTTATGTTAGGGTAAGATTAGTTTCACTTTATTTCCACAGATTTCTTTTTTATTGTTGTTCTACAGACAAATATACAAATGAAATTATCTTAATGGAATTACCCTCAAATCTTTTAGAATGATGGGAGTAGTAAAAAGGAATTTCAGGAAGGAGAAAAAGTTAAGAGAATAATGAATTTTATCAGTTAGTTATAATTATTGGAAAGTAGACCAAAGTATAGAGAGGGAGAAAATGTTTATGCATAGCTTTCCACTGAGAGGCAACCATTGTTAATCTTTTTGCATGTCTGTAACCTTTTCTATTTAAAAAATAGCATAAAAATAATACACATGCATGCTCATTATAAAAATTTAAACAATATAGAATATTTAGAATAACAGAGTTTCCTTTTCCTTCCTTCCCAGTCCCTCCCTTTCTCATAGGGAACACCTGTTCATAGTATTTGTATAAATACACACATTTTTATTACTATAATTAACATACATGGGATTGTGTTACTCAATGATTTGAGGTTTTTCTACTTAATATACCTTAGAAATCTTTCCTTATTGTAGCTTTCTTATATTTTAAAAGTGAATGGGTAGAATTTTTGGGAAAAAAAGCTTACATTAAAAAATTCCAAAGGTGCAGAAAAGGACTGAGTAGAATGGTGCCCTGGTCCCATCCCAACTCTGTAGCTGTTACCTTGTTTAATATTCCAGAAATCTTTTATCTTTTCCTTCCTTCCTTCCTTTTCTTTTTCTTTTTTCTGTTAACTGGGAACATATATATTTAAGAACTCCCCTTATACTGTTTAATGACTATAATTTTTCATGGATGAAATACTATAATTTACATAACCTTTCTCTTAATGTTAGAATCTTAGATTTCCCAGTTTTTCACTATTATGATAAAGCCTTTTAAAATTCATACTTAAGTGTTTGAATTGACTGCAGTGGTTTTGACTGCTTTGGAACAAAAAGCTTAAAAATTAGAAGGAAAAAGAAAGGTTGAGTTTATTTTCAGTTTCACTCCCAGTTTTAAAACTAAGGAAATCAAAGTCCAGTTTTGGCTGAATGTACCTTTAAATTGTAAAATATAAATGTCTAGTTTAAATATACTTTTTCTTAGGTCTGTATTTATGGATGTTGACCAGTTACTAAACCCTTATTGAGTTATACGATTCTATGTAAATTTTTGCAATAAAGGCACAATTCTTCATCAGCTTTTAATGTAAAATTTGTGAAATGATAGGTAATGGATTTTTATTTTTGTTTTTTAATCAGTGACTTTTTTGAACGAACCATTCTGTGCAACAGTCTTGTGTGGAGTTGTGCTGTGACGGGTAGACCTGGACTGACCTATCAGGAAGCACTTGAGTCAGAAAAAAAAGCAAGACAAAATCTTCAGAGTTTTCCAGAACCACTAATTATTCCAGTGTTATACTTGACCAGCCTTACCCATCGTTCACGCTTAAATGAAATTTGTGATGATATTTTTGCATATGTCAAGGATCGATATTTTGTTGAAGAAACTGTGGAAGTCGTTAGGAACAATGGTGCCAGGTAAAGTACTTTTAATTTTTTTCTTTCAATATGCATACATTCACATTGCACAAAATTTAAAGTACACAGAAAGGTGAACCAAAGAAAGCTTCCCTTTTACTATCCTCTAGCTACCCTGTTACCCTCCCCAAGGCCCTAGTGTTAGCAGTTTCTTAAGTATTTTTCTAAAGCTCATTTTAATAGAGATCACCAAAAACATGTACACACATACACTCACGTACACTACACACACACACACACACACACACACACACACACACACACACACACACACACACACACACACACAGAGTCTCCTGCCCCTTTTAATGGAAAATGTAATGTACTCTACACAGTACACCTTGTTTCACTTAAAATATCTTGAAGATCATTCCACTGCTTTATTAACCATTTTCCTTCTCTTTTTTATTTACTGTATAATAAGTCCATTATATGGAAATTTCATCTTTATTTAAGAGTTAAAAAAACCTTAAAGATATCTACTTATGTCCTATTATTTACTTGATAGTTTAAGTATGCCTATATTTCTTGCTGGGTTTTAGTAGTTCCTTTAATGAGGACTGAGTTTTATGTACTCCACTAAGTTTTCTTTTACCCAGGTCTTCAAGAAAAAAGTGGATTTTTCTTGAAAATTTTAAATGACTATCTATGGCACAGAGTTAAAAATTAATCAGTGCTTTCCTAAAGTCTTAAGCATTTTTTATTGTTTAAGTCACTTATATTTATCATAATAATCTTTATTTGCATTAAAACTGTGTATAGCCTCTTGACTTTTGGGGCAGTGACTATAAAATGTTTTCTGAATGCTTTTTCCTCTAATTTATTGACCTGAATGTAGTTTTTTATTTCTGAATTTTAAACTTTAGCAGTCAAAAGTTATTTAATTATGTTGTTTATGATCTTATTTTGGAAAATCATCATGAGTTTATATGTAATTTCAGAATAATGTCTTAAATTATAATCCATTTTAATTATTAAATCATACTATACATGAATCTTAAAGAGCTAAGAGATATTTATATTAATGTCTAAATTTGTTTGGATTAGATTTTGGTGAATAATTGAATAAGCTTTTTTTCTTCATTGTAGAAGCAACAAATGGCAAAAATTGAAGAATTTTTCATGTCTAGTGACTTTTGGGAAAAAATTTATTTTTATTTTAAGGGGGAGAGATTAATGTCACCAGTAATCCCACTAACAATATACCCCTTTTGAAAAAGATCAAATTGTAGATACTGTTTTGAAGTATGTTTTCTGGTTTTTGGTGATATACTTAGAAAACAGATTTTTGAGTTTCAAACTATGTTACTGAAAGGAATAATAGGGCCATGTTTGAGAAATAGGAAATTTTTTTCTCCTTATTGTCATTGTTTTTATTTAACTTATGCCAAAAGTGTTTTCTGATTTACACATCATTAGAATACGTTAAACTGATATTAGTAATATTGCTTATATCTAGAAATGTAATGGTTCAGTGTTTTTATATAGCTTATTTTTGTTATACTTTTAAAATGAACTTCAAGTAATTGTAGCTGTTAGTAGTACACTAAGGGTACCTTGTAGAAATGGGAAATCTGGGAGTCACAATTTTATTGATTATTTGTTAGGAAACACCTCTTCTTAAAAAGCTTTTATTTTATTTTATTTATTTTTTAAAGATTTTATTGGGGAATTGGGGGAGGGGAACAGCGCTGGGGAATCGGGGGAAGGGGAACAGACAAGTTGCTGTTGTTTTGTTCTTCAGTCTAGTTGTGGAGGACGTTGCTTCACTGGCCCAAGCTGGCACCATCATTGCGCTCTTCCCGGGCGAGGCAGATCAGTCGCCGGCCTCTGGACGGCCGCTCACGCTGGCTGCTGGCTACACACGGTAGCTTATGGCAACCCACTGCAGCAGGGGACTGCAGCCTACACTGTCGCCAGTGACCCACGGCTGCCCAGCTCCAGGTCGAGCTGTTGTTCAGCATCTTAGCTGTAGAGGGCAGTGTCACTGGCCCTCACATGTGGGATCCGAACAGGGGCCCTCTGGTATCCCAAGCCAGTTCTTAACCAACGCACCACTCGGCCGGCCCTTAAAACGCTTTTAAATTGTAAAGAATAAGTTAGTATTTTTCTGAAAACTTAAGGCTTAATTTTCATAATGCGTATTGGCATTCTTAATCTTTGTGCAGGAAAGGACAAATTGTGGAACACTCCTTGGCTTTTTGTCTTTAGCAGCTGGCTGGATAGTATGATGCAGAAGCCTCAGAAAGTAATGTTATGAGTCTGGCCATCTTTGCTCTCATCTCAGGCCCAGATGTTTTTGATTGCTGTGATAATTGTGTTCACTGACATGTTGCTTAGCGATTCATAAGTGTCACTTTCAGGCTAGACACTGGGTTGGGTTCTGGGGGTCTGAAACAGATTAAGATGCCCTTAAAGAGTTCAATTAAAGGAGAGACAAACATGTTGACTTGCCAAGTGTTAAAACAAACGTATGAATGAAGTCATTCAGGAGCATCCAGGTCTAGAGTGTCCTAGAGGCCAGGCCTGGGTTCCCTACACTCACTCTAACACTGGATGTAATCTTTTTTTTTTTTTTTTTTAAAGATTTTTATTGGGGAATTGGGATGGGAACAGTGCTGAGGAATTGGGGGAAGGGGAACAGACAAGTTGCTGTCGTCTTGTTCCTCAGTCTAGTTGTGGAGGACATTGCTTCACTGGCCCAAGTTGGCACCATCATTGCGCTTTTCCCAGATGAGGAACATCAGTCGCCGGCTTCTGGATGGCCGCTCACTGCAGCTACTGGCCGCTCACGCAGGCTGCTGGCTACACACGGTAGCCCGTGGCAACCCACTGCAGCAGGGGCTGCAGCCTACGCCATCACCGGTGACACACAGCAGCCCAGCCCCAGGCCGAGCTGCCATTCACCATCTTAGCTGCAGAGGGCAGTGTCACTGACCCTCATATGTGGGATCCGAACCGGGGCCCTCTGGCGTCCCAAGCCTTAACCATCGCGCCACTCGACCGGCCCAAGATTTAATCTTTTGATCTTTGCAAGAGCTAGTGATATCTCAGTGTTTATTTGCCTTTTCAAGTCCTTTGCCTGTTTTTCTTTTTTGCTTGTTTGTCATCAGTAGATTTGTGAGAGCTGTTTATTAAATACTAGGCATATTATACTCTTAGTCATACTGTTGCAAATATTTTTTCCATTTCATTTTTTATTTTTCCTAAATATGCAGTTAATGTACAAGTAAAAAGAATGTTTAAAATATGTATAAAGAGGGCCGGCCGAGTGGCGCGATGGTTAAGAACTGGCTTGGGACGCCAGAGGGCCCTGGTTCGGATCCCACATATGAGGGCCAGTGACACTCTACAGCTAAGATGCTGAATAACAGCTCAACCTGGAGCTGGGCTGCCGTGAGTCGCCAGCGACGGTGTAGGCTGCAGCCCCTGTGGCAGTGGGTGGTCATGCGCTACCGTAGCGAGCAGCCTGCGTGAGCGGCCAGCAGCCACTGTGAGCGACTGCCCAGAAGCCGGCGACTGATCTGCCTCACCCGCGAAGAGCGTAATGATGGTGCCAACTTGGGCCAGTGAAGCAACGTCCTCCACAACTAGACTGAAGAACAAAAAGGACAGCAACTTGTCTATTCCCCTTCCCCCAATTCCCCAGCTCTGTTCCCATCCCCCCAATTCCCCAATTAAAAAAAAAATCTTAAAAAAAATGTATAAAGAATAATGATATAATTAAGGAATAAAGAATAAAAATACAATAAGTAAATATTCATGCATTTGCCACTTGGTTTTAATAGAATACTTTTCTCTTTGATTTTTGTGTACAGTTTAAGAAAAGTTATGAATTTCTAGTTTTTTGGGAGGCAGAATAGTGTGATAGTGAAGGGTCTAGGCTTTGGAGTCAGACTGACCTTGTTGGAGGAGGACATCCTTTCAGGTTATGGTGAAACTGTGCATGTAATGGAAAGGGTGCATGTGGTAGACATTATGTAGACATTGCTACATAAATAGACTATAGCAGCATTTTACTGGGGGGAAATAAAGCCACTGTTGGCCCAAGAAACTTATGTGGAAGATAACATTTTTCTTCTATTATTGACTAGCTTCTATTAAAAATTATATTTTACATTGTAATTGTTTCAAGCCTGACTTAAGATTTCTGCAACTTTAGATTCTAAGTTCTTGCATATATACTCTGTCCTTTTACCTTTTTCATCTAAATTTCAGTTAAAATAACTTTAATATATAAACTTGCCTAATGGCTGGATTTCCTCTGGTTGGTTGGAATTGTGCCTCCATCGCCTGCTTACTGCGTGTGTAACTTTTTTGCAAATATTTAGCATCACTTATTTCTCCTTTGCATACTTAGTGGAATTATTGTGAAGGTTAACTGAGATGCTGTATGTGAAGTGCTAGGCACACAGCAAGTGTTAAATAAACAGCAAGTAAAAAGTCACTCTTTTTCCATTTTGATTTTTTAGTTCTCTGTCATGCTTATAAACTTATTCTATTACAATGATATGGGGAAATGATTTGGCATGATGTTTTTCATGTGGAATGTATTCTAGACCCCAAGGAATATATGTCTCTTCTGGCTTCATATCTGCTTGTGTAACTTTGGGGATTGAGTTCAGTTTTGTGGTGATAGTGGTGGTAAGATCCTGGCATCCCTAAGAGGCTGGATAGGGCAATCCCAGCTTCGGTAATGAGAGAAGCTCCAGAATGAGGTTCCTAGGTATCCCTGTTGACTTTCATGTGTAGGCTCCTTTGGCCTTTATACCTTACAATGGCATGAGGTTTATAGTTAGGGGGCTTAGATTTCTCCCAGTGACAGAAATAGCAGTCACATATTGTTTTCATGGAATCCACAAGTATGAGATATCTGTGATCCCACTCCCACCATTCCCTCTTCATCCTTTCTCCACAGAATGTGAAGAATTTGCTCACATAGTACACATTGTCATCTCCTGCTTTTTTTGTTAAGGTTTATTGAGATATAATTTACACAC